CATCTGACCAATACATAATTAATATATATTATTATTAATAATAATACCTCCAAATCACAAGACATTGGCTTTATTCTTATTCTTTCCCTCTGCGGTTTGAATATAAAGTATAAAAAGACTAAAAAGAGATTTTTGTAGACATCCCAGCCTTTGAACTACCCAAGGAAATGAAACAGCAAAGTTTCGCTGTCAGGCAAGCTTCCATGCCAGTCGCCTTTCTTTCCTCTCGCTTCGCCTCTTTTTAACCTCACATCCCACCTTCTGTAAGGGAAGGCAAAAGGCTCACTCACCCTCTCATGAAAGATGGCCTCCATGTTTATGTGTCTCCCACCACCACCATCGGCTTCCACACCACATGGTCCGACCCAACCAATCACACTCTGGCTGTAGTGTTCCAGCGCTTCATGGCTCCTCCGAGAGGAGGCAGACAGCGCCGAAGGGGACCCCGCTAGCACCATACTGCCAGCGGGGCATTTTCAAAAACAATTGAGGATAGGAATGGCAACAATAGGGAAAAAATGCAACTCTGGAAAAAAGATGCCGGAACTCTGTTCCGGTGCGTTCTATGACAAAAAAAAAAGCCCTGGTTATCCCCTCATCTAAAGATTAGATTATTTAAAAGCTCTAAACCAGAGACTGCTGTTTTGTTGTCTCCTTGCAAGGGGCAACTGTCTGGAGCACTTGTGGGTGATCTCAAATCCTTGTCCAGAGAGGAATTACAAAATTACTCCGGGCTCTTCATTCTACTACATCTTTCAGCTCTGATTTTAGTGGAATTCACAGAGAACTTTTACCCTAATGTGCATGGTCAACTATGGGTTTCTCTTCTCTTTGTTTCTGCTTATCATAAACAACAGCAAAATGTTCTACCTCTCCTGATGTAGAACAGTTTTACACTAAGAGAACTGAAGTTAATATTAATACCCTATCCTATCATACCATTTTACTATAGTAAATTACTGAATAGAGTTGGACTTCCGGTTTGCCATCACGGCTGCCATGGCCGCTGGAAGGCAAGCTCCATCTTCTGCATTCGATTTCGTTCCGCTGGGGGACTCTGGAAAGGGTCGAAAGTCACCCTGTAGGGGCAACGAGTAAGAAGGGGACCCCTGCTTGATCACGGGAGGGCAGCAGCCCTTCTGCTCGATCCAGGACAGCCCTCCAAACTGGCAGAGGAAAGACCGGCCATAGCAATTTGGCTCATCACTAAGCTGCAGACAACCGAAGTCAAACTTACCATCAAGCACTTCTAAAGCAATGTGGATGAAACTGGGTGAGATTCGATCTTCTCTTTAAGATCCTAAGTATTTTCTTTTCCTGTGAAAGCTGCCCAAAGTATCTTTTCCCACTGTGAGGAGAGAGGGAAGGGAATTTCTACCCCATCCTCTAAGAATAGCGGCGACTAACTACCCAGGAGAGTTAAAGCTCTAAAAGAATAATTTTAATCTAATTGGATTTATATGTTTCTGAAACTTGGGGACCAAAGGTTTTCTTATTTTTTATTGGAAACTTTTGTTTTTATCTACAAAAAAGAAATAAAACTATAGTAAATTATTGTCATTTATTACACTATGTCAGACTAGACAAGACTATTCTTGAACCAATAATAGACTAGTAAAAATACCATTGTTCTCTCTCCCCCCACACAAGTATTCTGACTGAACATTCAGTGAGGTATAGGAGGCAGCTAGATGATCCATATGGTAGAGAAATACAGAGGTAGCCTTGAAGAAAATATTCACCGCTATTACAAAAATGGCAGTTTAGCTGCAGATGAGAGGAAAGGGTGAGGAAGAAACTCAAGATTCCTGGGTATAAAAGGGAGGAAAGAGAAACTCTATCAGGGATTCAAGATTCTGTTATACCCCATATTAATATAATCACTAATAATCAGAATAAAGCTGGAAGGGACCTTGGAGGTCTTCTAGTCCAGCCCCCTGCTCAAGCAGGAGTCCCTATATCATTTCAGACAAGTGGCTGTCCAGTCTCTTCTTAAAAACCTCAAGTGATGAAGCACCCACAACGTCTGAAGGCAAGCTGTTCCACTGGTTAAATAGTTAAATATAGTTTTGGCGATGCCTGTTTCTTGATCTGACCTACTTGATGAGCTGACAATTGTGGTTCTATCTGAGTTCTGAGGCACTGAAGAGGCAGATACCACCAACCATCAGTCCGAGGAACCAACAGGCAGCCAGACTCCTGGAGTGCTCTAGGAAACAGTGATTCCCCCAAGAGGGTGAGATCTGATTCAGATTGGGGAATGCCAGATGCTGGCAAGACACCCAGCCCAAAACCACATTGCCCAGCAGCTGCAAAAGGGCTGAGCTAAGTTGGTCAGCACTGAGAGAATAGGGAAGCAGCTACCCAGTCAAGCTTATTTGGCACCCTGGGGTTCTCTAAGAGCTTCTTTTGAGCCTTTGGCCAGTCTTGGACACAACTCCCATACTCCAGAGAAGGGTTCCTCTCACACGTGCTCCTGGCCCTGCCTTCGAACCCCCAGCTTGACATTCTGACTCATGGAATTCCATGTCTCTTCAATCCTATGTCTTTTCTCCTGTAGCAGGTCCCTACAGCTCATGTCATAAGCAAGTCATGAACTTTTGGAATTCAAGTCTCAAGGCTAATTACTGACCTGGTTCCCGGCTACTGTCAGGACATGGACAATGCACCAGTGAAGATGTTCAAACTTGTATTTGTCTTTCTGTTTGCAGTGGCTGACGGAAGACATGCTGAAGTGGGGCATAATTAATTCTCAACCCTTCACTGTCATGCCATCCTCATAGAAAGCAGCTTAATATTCATTGGACAAAGAAAGGCAGGGGATCCGCCAGTGGCAGCCCTGGAACTATGCCCCATTAGATCTGGAAGGACAGTCCACTCCTCAGCCCCACTGCTGAGGTACAGTAAAGATACCAACTGAGGTATCAGCTGCGGAAGCTATAAGAGTTAAATACTTTTTCAGCCAACTCAGGAATGCAAGTGGACCCTGCCATAAGGAAGCACCCACAATGAGGCAGAGATTTGTACACAAAGAAACTGGAGGCTGATGTTTCCAAAAGGCAGGAAAAGATAGATATTTGTGCCAGACCATATTCTGCACAAAGAAGAACTACTTTCCTATCCAAATCCTACTTAAACCTGATCCTATTTAACTTTTGAAAATGACTTGAAATCAGTTGGATGGGGCCACCTGCTGGAATGATTTAGTGGTTTATAAAGTAATAAAAAGATCGTAAATAGTTTGTGCCAAGGTATCCTTCAGAGAGCTACTGTTCGCATGTCCAGTTTAGGGTACCTGATTCAGTCCCAACCCTTGAACGTACTGCTGTCTTTCTTTGTAATAGATGGTCAGAATGTTGTGGTCATAGACCATTGTCAAGTCCACATTATATTTATTTTGTGTAACATGAACCTAGCTATCATGATAGCTATTCTTGCAAAAGTATTGTTCCCGTACCTTCTTAGTGCTTCGTTTCTATGTGCAGATCACTTCATTTTAGTATTTATTTCTTCATTGATTTGATTTTATTTGATTTGATTTCTATAGCCACCTATCTCAACAAGTGACATCATAAGGGGTAAAAACTATTAGAACAATTAGAACAATACAAAATGCATTTTTGTATAGCACACTTATTTTTAACTATAGCTTTTATATCATTTGTTTTATTTGTAAACCATCCAGAGGCATGCAAGTGTGATAGGTGATATAGAAATTTGATAGATAGATAGATAGATAGATAGATAGATAGATAGATAGATAGATAGATAGATAGATAGATAGATAGATAGATAGATAGATAGATAGATAGATAGATAGATAGATAGATAGATAGATAGATAGATAGATAAAGCACTCAGTAAAGTTCTTAATATGGATGTTAATACAATCAGGAAATAGGGCGCTTAACATACTCTGGGTCCCAAACCTGGGCAAACAACCAAGTCTTTACAGTCTTATGGAAGGCAAACAGGGTTGGGGTCATCCGAATAGCAGAAGGGAAAATATTCCTGACAGTCAGAACAATTAATCAGTGGAACAACCTGCCTCCAGGAGTGGTGAATGCCCCAACACTGGATGTCTTTAAGAAGAGACTGGACAGCCATTTGTCTGAAATGGTATAGGGTTTCCTGCCTGAGCAGGGGGAACTCGATGACCTCCAAGGTCCCTTCCAACATCATCATCATCATCATCATCATCATCATCATCATCATCATCATCATCATCATCATCATCATCATCATCATCATTATTATTAATATGGATCATCGCACAGTCAGCCAGATGTTCAGACTGGATTTGGCATTTTGTCTACCTATCGAGTCCTTACCCAGGACCTGGGATAGGCAGATGTGGATGTTTGATGGTATTACAGATATCGTCGCAGGATGGAAGCAGTTCCTAGTAAGGCTGCCTTTTGCAATTGACTAATAGCGAATTTGTCAATGCCAATGGTGT